CTCTCTCTCTCTCTCTCTCTCTCTCTCTCTCTCTCTCTCTCTCTCTCTCTCTCTCCGATAACTCGGTGAATTATATTTTCGTCAACGATTTACTCGAAATTCCGCGGTCACTTCTGGCATTCGACACGCGCGGATGGAACAATCAAGTGGTCAACACGTTGAAATTTCTCGATAATAAAAAAATGTATATATTAGTTGTCGCCGACAGTTAACAAGGATCGACGCGAAAATTCGGTAACCGAGTAATTTCTATGCCCGAGCAAGAGAGAGAAAGAGAGAGAGAGAGAAAGAGAGAGAGAGAGAGAGAGAGAGAGAGAGAGTGGCACGAAACTATTCGATTTCTACATTGATATTATTAATGACGCGCCGCAGTAAAGTTCATTTCAACGGAAGGGAAGAGAGAGTGCACCTTCAAAGATGATGCACTTTCAAAGGCATCTCCGGTTTCTGAAAGTTAGCGCGGAAGCGTTCTCCCCAGGAGAATTGGGCGCGGTTTTGTTATGCAAGTCGCGGATGGCACGAGAAGCTGCCTTTGGAATCTTTTCAACGGCTTACGCGATCGTCCTGTTAAGCAGCGGTGGCCCATGCATACAAACGGAAGGAAGAAATGGTCAATAAATGTTACCGCGCCAGGATAAATATAGAATCTGTGCACTTTATGCTTCCCTTGAATTTCTTAGAAGTGCTCGTAAGCATGGAAGTGTATCGCGCGACCGTTCGATCTCTCTCGCTCAAATAACGTAGACGTATTTTCAATTTAATTCGTTTATGAGAAAGAGAGAGAGGGGATGAGTCTCCATGCGCCACAACATTCGTCGTCCAATAAATCGAGTCGGATCGTATCTGCAAAATTCGAGTTAACGCGAAAATAAGAGAAAATCGCGTAGTAGTTCCAACGGCGCGTTCGAACGTTGGGCGAGCCGGCGTTGTACAATCGCACTTGGCGCATTACATTCATAAATTATTCCGTTCGATATCGCGACGTACTTTCGTACTATTTTCTTGAAAACGTTAAATCATACCGGCCCCTTTATATCGCAAAAATCAGGCCGGTATCCCGCGCTTGACAATCCAAGTATCTTTTCTTATTTTTTTAAGTGAAGCTTTTACGGAACTTCTTCTCTACTCGCGCTCAGAAGGGTATGTCGAATAAAAATTACTCATAAATTGCCATGTCGCGTGC